ATATTTTCACTAACAAAGAATCAATATTCGGTTGTTGTTTTTGTGTGTGATTTTTTTTTTTTTTTTTTTTTTGTTTTGTATTTTAGAGCATCACTGAAAAGATGGGGATTTCAGTCATAACTTATTCAAAGCCTGCAATGGCATAATGGAAATGATTACATAAATTATTACTGTGCTTCGCGAACTCACATTGAAAACACCATGGGGGATAGAAAGTATTCTGTGCCTTTTTTCTTTAGTAGGAAACACTGAATTGTGGGGGTTTTACGAAGAAAGTTCAGTATGGGAATAGGAAAAATGTTCGAGAGGATAATAACGTGATATGGATCGGGTGTTCCAGTTGCAGTTTTGTTTCGGTGGGAGGTGGGGGGGGGGGGGAGGGGAGGGGGTGAACACAGGCACATTTGAAACACCTAATGGTGAGCAAAGTCACGTTAAGACACTTTGTGGTGAACACATGCACCTTTAAGACAATTTGTGATGAACGGTGTAGGGTCTATTTTCTATGTATCTATTATGTAAAAACATGTTTAAGAACATGCAGTGAACAAGGCACCTTTAAGACACCTTGTGGTGAGCACAGTCACGTTAAGACACTGTGTGGTGAACATATGCACCTTTGTTTGTCGAAGAAATAAAATCTGATGATGATATATGTGATAAAAATAATACTTAAAATGGCGTGGAAGACTAACGTGTTCTTTATTTGCGTGGCATATGTCCCATCTGGTGTATTGTATATTTTCTATGTATCTACTTATGTAAACATTACTTGCCTCAAATCAGTTCTATTGATTTTACTTTGTGGTGAGCACAGTCACCTGTAAGAAGAAGAAGAAGAAGAAGAAGAAGAAGAAGAAGAAGAAGAAGAAGAAGAAGAAGAAGAAGAAGAAGAAGAAGAAGAAGAAGAAGAAGAAGAAGAAGAAGAAGAAGAAGAAGAAGAAGAAGAAGAAGAAGAAGAAGAAGAAGAAGAAGAACGAACGAACGAACGAACGAACGAACTTTATTTTTAAAGGGTTGAGAATTGTGCACGCAGGCCAGCCTAACATTCTGCAGCAGCAGAAAGTTTATAAGAGGTCTAAGCAGACACGGCGAAGTGGTCAAGCCATTTGCCCTGCCCTCTGAAAGTCGTGGGTTCGTTTAACTCAGTCCATGAGTGCAATTTTTACGAAGATCTCTGGGTATCGTCGCCAAAGCTACGGAGTTAGTGCTCCGTGCGGCGCTCTCGGCATGCGGTTAGCCGTTCTGCGGAGAGAGACCGAGCCGTATTGGATCAAATCCAATGCAACTAGGTCGTTCCTCTCGACTTTACCCTTTAACCGCCTCTTAGATCGTGTATAGACATTCCGTTTTGAAGTATCTAAACATTTTATAATATTTCAAGTATATTGTCACGTGTTTTCGCCATTCAAAAAGGCTTACTATCATAGAGCTGCCCTGGGCAGTTATTAGAGAACTAAGCCGGCCTAAGCAGGTCCTGAAATATTTGTTGGTAGATTCTAAACTCCAAATTTTGTACGGGCAGCTCCGTTGGGCTACTCTTTTCGATTTCTAACTGCCACTGTATTTTTTACGTGAGCAAATATACACACGGGCGTCTGATCTTACTACCCAGTGACCAGGGGAAATTACTAGAAGTCCTGGTTTTTTAAAAAAAATAGCCTTCACGGGGGCCTGACCCCGGGACCTTATAGGGGAAAAAATCGAAGCAAGACAGTTTCACATTATTACAATTTTAATCACTACTCTGAGAACTACTGTATGCTGTCATAAGTCTATGCATTGTTCATTGTTCTTTTAAATGTCATCTTTATCGCAAATTGGACATGACAATAAGTGCTGAGTTTGTCTCTAAGTGTTAGTGTTTTAAGGCTAACAACTCCTATTTTGTTCTGGTTTATGTAACTACAGGTAGGCCCCGCCCGGTTGTCTTGTCTCGCTGCTCCAAATGGGACACCCAGGGTATGCAGTCTGTTTAGTGAAGAATTATTGTCCACGAAACTGGAACCGTCACAGTGTTTACTCTTTCTAATGGCATTGATAATATCTCCAGTCTATAGATGGCCCCCCATGGCATAAGTCTACAATTCAACATAACCAGCTTTTTAACTGCTGAGGCTTACAATACAGCTCACTTTCAAGTATTATTGTCACGTATTGGCTGCTGGCTTCTGCAACTATGATTTTGTGCTGTTTAAAATCAAAAAATTGTTTCTTTTTATTCTGTAAATTTTGCCAGTAAACACGTATAGCACTAGTTTGATTGAAGTACATATTAAATAATGAGTGTTTTATGTTGCTCATTACAATTTTTTTAAGTGAACAGCAACCTGTTATATGATATATCTCAGGCCAGGATTGTGTAGAAGATCCAAACTCGTATCATCTATCACTCTCACTACTGCCACTGGTCGCACCTGGTGTAGATAAGATCTTTGTCAAGTTTTATTATAATGGCTTGGTTAATATCCAACATGAAGAACGTAGGCATAACAGCCATGGTGAGTTTTTTTTAATTTTTTTTATTACTCTCCCTTCTTGATTTCAGTCTGAAATATGATCACAGGGGAGGGTGTGGAAACACCACTGCTTCTTAACAAGCATGTCGTAACAGGTCACTGATGAAGATACTGCTGAAATAGCAGCACCCATCAAGTGCCAAAATAAAATACTATAAAATACAAGTCCAGCCCTCTATGCCAGTGGGCCTGAAGGTGCAGAAAGGAGTCCTTTACTTTTACTGAAATTGGGTGTGTTGGGCCGAAATGTGCAAACATCACAGCTAACTGCTTTTTAGGCTCTCCTTTCAACTCAGGCCGTTAGCTGAAAAGCCGCCGATCGCTTAGTGGGAGTTCTCTCCCTTGGCTGCATTGCAAACACGGAGCGGAAAAGTCACGAATCAAATGACATACTTACCTATCATCATACGGTTGCGTAGTCATCATATGGTTGCGTAGGGTGTAGGGTTAGGGATAGGGTTAGCGGCGTTAGGGGTTGGGTTAGGTTTAGGGATAGGATTAGGGGTAGGGTTAGGGGTAGGGTTAGATGTGACAATTACTGTTCCATATACTGGCCGACAATCTGATGCTTGTGGGAGTGGCGCCACTGGAATTCTCCCAAATATGACGGCAATAGCGCGCGGCTGGTGCCCAGTCGGTGGCGAATTGTCCGTTTGAGTAGCCTCCACAGTCCTTCGATTGTTTGGGTGTGTATGTGACTGTGCGCAATTATTCGGAACTCCTGCGTCAAAATTGTCACATTTAACCCTAACCCTAACCCTACCCCTAACCCTAACCCTAACCCTAACCCTACCCCTAACCAAGCAAATTTATCGGTCAGTGAGTCATACAGACCTGCAGGAGTCACATCCATGGCAACTAATACCACGTTTATATATATAAGGATATATTTACTTTAAAAAAAACCCAGATTTCCCCGAAGCGTCAAATAAACACCCAGATCTGGGGGACACACCCAAGCATGGGCAGCCCTGTCTTTTTTATTCGTGACTTTTCCGCTCCGTGTTTGCAATGCAGCCAAGGGAGAGAACTCCCACTAAGCGATCGGCGGCTTTCCAGCTAACGGCCTGAGTTGAAAGGAGAGCCGCTTTTTGTAAGATTACTTTCAGAAAAAGAAGAAGCAATCATCCAGTGACTTAAGAGCATAAACTTTACATACCAGTAAGCATGTGTAGGATTAAGTGAACACTTACATACCCTCTAGTTAGGGCTTGCATACCATTCATTTAACTCTTACATACTGTCCACTTAATGCTTACATACCAGTCCGTTAACAAGTACATAATAGTTAGCTTGCATACCTTCAGTTTCATGCTGGAGGGAAGTGCTGAGGACAAGAGGTAGACAACAAAATGAGTGGGAGGACCATATCGAGAGATAAATGAACAGCAGTCTGAGAATATGTACAACCAAGACAAGAGATGCAGCATATTGGAAATTCATTACAGCCAATTTTTATTGTGGAGAGGAAACCTGATTGACTGACATTAGGTTTTCTAACCATGCAGTTTACAAACCATTCAACTTACATATCTTTCTGTTTATAATCCATTCAGCCTACTTACCATTCCACTTACCTACAGTTCAGTTTTACCTGCAGTTCTACTTAATATAATATTAAGTCTACCTTGCAGCCATTTTATCTTTCTTCTTCTTCTTCAGCATTCTGAACCCTTGAGGTTCATTGCTGCAGATATCACCCGCCTCCACTCATCTCGCTGGTTGGCCTTTCCTTTCCAGTTAGTCAACCAATGTTTGCAGGTCTGTCTGGACATGATCTCTCTAACGTCTTCTTGGTCTGTCTTGTGGTCTATGACCATTCAGCTCCCTTGTTTATACAGTTTTTACCTCTCTGTCATCTGACATATTACCTACTATTTAAATGTAATTCACTAATTAATTTAAGCCACTAACAATGCCAAATTACGTGCAGTTTAGAAAATAATTAAAAATTAACCCATAAGTTGTTAGATATTTTTCAAAGCTTCAAAAAAGTATTAGCAAATTACATTTGAATCTTTAGACACAGCTGGTTGGAAGATTGGTAAATCTGTTGTAATATTTTTTGGACAGTGAGTTAATAGACTAAGTATAATTGTTTTCAGGATCTTGGCATATTATGAACCTACTTGACGAGGTTTGGGAACCGAGCATTGCTTTGGACAATGAGTAAATAGACTAAGTATAAGTGTGATTGACATTGTTTTCAGGATCTTGGCATTTTATGAACCTACTTGACGAGGTTTGGGAACCGAGCATTGCTTTGGACAATGAGTAAATAGACCAAGTATAAGTGTGATTGACATTGTTTTCAGGATCTTGGCATATTATGAACCTACTTGACGAGGTTTGGGAACCGAGCATTGCTTTGCACAATGAGTAAATAGACTAAGTATAAGTGTGATTGACATTGTTTTCAGGATCTTGGCATTTTATGAACCTACTCTGATGAGGTTTGGGAACTGAGCATTGCTTCGGACAATGAATGTCATTTTCATGCTAGCATCCTTGTTCTGTGTTTTGTTTATTACTACACACTTTGCCAACAAGGTAAGTCTGTCTTCATGCTAGAAGCTTTATTTTGTGTTAGCTGTTTATTACTACACACTTTGCCAACAAGGTGAGGCTGTCTCCATGCTAGAAGCTTTGTTTTGTGTTAGCTGTTTATTACTACACACTTTGCCAACAAGTAAGTCTGTCTCCATGCTAGAAGCTTTGTTTTGTGTTAGCTCTTTATTACTGCATACTTTTGCCAACAAGGGATTTTTGTCTTCTTGCCAACAGCTTTGTTCTTTGGCACTTTTCAGTCTTTCCAGATGATAAAGTTATGAGGCAGGGATTTACATTCCCATGGCGATGATGAGTGTGACTAGAAAGACCCTCCCACGTTAAGAATAGTCTTCCACAGTTAGAGATGGGAATTTCAAGACCTCTGCGTAGCACAAAGCCTGGGCAGGAATATAGGGACCATGTATTGCTCTTGCATCATGATCACTCCTTTGGCCTGCCTTGTTTACTCCAAAGAGAAGGTAACACCCAGTATGTTTTGATCAAAGCATGCTGCAGACATTGCCTGATCAGAAAAGCACTGCTCTGTCTGTCGGAGCTTTCCTCCTAGACTAGCTGCCAGCCTATGCTAAGGGCTTGGTCTGTCCTGCCATAACATGAAGTTCTTAGGTTAACTACTTTGTTTTGTGTTTTTAATTCAGTCACATTTTTTTCAGTCAAAGTAAACCTATCCCCGTGCTTCACACATTAACCTCGTTGCCCATAGAAAGCCATTATTTCTACATTTATGGGTTTTTGAGGACCTGAAGTCTTTGTGGCTGTGGCCACTACAAGTATAATATATTGCTGGTAGCCATTGCAGCCTGGAAATGGGTAATGACAATAGAACATTATATATAACAATGAAAAGGAGACAAACACAGTTCTTTGGTCAAGTGATGAGAAAAGGAGCACTGGAAACATCGTGACGACTGGAAAGATCACTGGTAAAAGATGCAGAGGCAGACCAGGAAAAATGGTGGTCGATGGCTTAAAACAGTGACCAAAGACACAGATCTGTGGAGATGCATGAATGCCTTCACCAACTGGCAAGGCACTTGGTGATGATGATAACCCATTGAACCACTCTAATGTGTAGACTTGGTATATATGATAAAAAAAAAGTTTTTTATTATTCGTAGTGGGAAAAAAAAAAGTTTATTTTTAGTGTTGTTGTTATTCTGTGTAATAAACATATGATGAAGTCACTTTGTTCCCCATGGCTGTGTCAGCAAAATCCATGTTTTCATAGTCAAAGGGAAGGAAGGCAGTTAATTCTTTGTTTTATTTAATGATTACATCCCCTACTGGGAAGCAGATTTTGGGGTTGCAGATTAACACAGTGTGTGTATATATATGTGTGTGTGTGTACTGAAAAATTATGAGTTTGTGATTTTAACAAAAATGTTGCTAACCAAACACTGATGTGCAGTAATAATAGATGTGCATCCCTATCAAGGGGAGTCGCCGTGGCAGAGCGGCTAGACGTGCGCCGCGGATCGGAAGGTCGTGGGTTCGCTACCTGGCGGAGACAGACTTTTCTTTAAAAATGCGTTGGTCTATAAAAATATAGGTCTAGCCCTATATGCCCTATACCCCTAAAGGCGTGGAAAGGGTCCTTTACTTTACTATTTTGCATTCCTATCAAGACAGTGTTGTTTCTTGATAACAGAGTTTTGTACATGTTAATGACGTGTAACAGTAGTTTATTCTTGGAATCCATGGGAGATGAGTTTCCAGGTAGCATAGTAGCAGCGGGGGAAGACCCAGGGGTGTCTGTGACGGAGGGTGACAGATCAGTAGGTTCTGTTAGCCTCTTGCTGTTTTCTAATAATCCCAATATTACCTTACATTTATAAGACAGAGAAGTTGGCATTATACTGGACACATCCTGAGAAGAAAGGAGCAGAGAAATCACCAAACAGGCATTGAAATAGGAAGTAGAGGTATTGAGGAAATGAGGAGGTCCGAGAGAAACCTTAAGGCGAGCATTGAGGGGCTGGACTGTATTCCATCTATGATATTGAAATGATGGCACAGAGTAGAATGGAATAAAAGAATAGGCTGGGCGCCAGGTGTGATATATCATGGCACAACAGGACGGGAATGAATGAATGAAAGTTATTACTGTTTGCTGTCTGCCTGTGGGAGGACCAAAATATGTTAACTTCTGATGTGTGTGATGTTTTAAATTTGTCATTACTGTTTAGAACATCTTTGTTTCTAATTTTACTCCTGGGGAGAGTCTCTATGAGAACCTGGTTAAAGTCTTTGCCTGGTGCTGTGAAGATCATAGGTTTGTTTCGCAGATTGTATAATTGAGTTCTTGGGTGCAATTTTTATTAATATCACTGAGGATCTTTGCTGGAGCTGTGGAGTTCCTGCTTTGTGCATCCACTGTAGTCAGAGAGACTCAACCATATGTAATAAAACCTGGTGCAGTGCAGTTGCTTATCTTGACTTCAATCACCCTCTTACTCCTTATGCACAATATTAAAATATAATACTTTGTTTTTTTTATTTATTTTTTAGTATGTCCTATCCGAGCTGAGGTTTACATATCCTACAATATTCCAAGGGTAGGTAACTGTGTTAAATAAACTATTGGTTTTCTCACACAGGAAGTTAAATTCTCAGAAAAGGCAGAGGTTTTTTTCTAAACAGTATAGCTCTACAGCCGAGCCAGCCTCATAAAGATGGGTATTGATTTCCAGAATTTTATGAGAAGGAAAGGAAACTGGCTAACTCACCTTATCATGAAAGATGAGTGTTTGAAAAAGCTGATTGTTGTACAGGCTTTTAAGTCTTAGATTAATCATGTAAAGGACCATTTTCCAGACCTTTGGGCATATAGGGCTAGACCTATATTTTTATAGACCAGACTACACGCTGTAGGTGATGTGGTCAACATCCCGCCCACCTTCTTTACTTCCCAGGGCTGTACGTTCTACCCATTTGAGGCTGGATCGGCCTGAGAGCCAAGGTCATTTTTCAAAAAGGCTGGCTCCGTCAGCACATGAACCCAAGACCTCTGATCCGCAGGCGAGCGTCTAGCTGCTACACTATGGCAGCTCCCAGATTAACCACGTGATCTTTTTGTTTACATAACATGGTAGTGTGCATCCTTATTCTGACCACTTGAGCATGGGCCAGTGTACTTAAGATGAAAACATTGTTTTAACATGGTAGTGCACCAGGAAGCGTGCACAAAATGATTGGAACCTGTTTACTCCTCTCAGTGGTCATCCTAGAAGTCGTTTCCCAACTAGAGACCTGGCCAAGGTAGTTAATATTGGTGTTTCCTTTGAATTCAGAGTGCATCTGCCTGAGATATAAGGAACCAACAGTCTGCTTACAAATAGGCTAGATCTGTAAAACCAGTGTGCATGCAGAATTCAAGTTCTGGAACAAGAGTAAAGTCAAGAAGTGGATGAACAACCAGAACTTTCTGCTGCAGTTTACAGCCGGTAAACACACAGAAGAAGAGAAACTATTGAACCTTAATATGATAACACAAGCATTATGATCAATAAAAGTAAACACCATAGATCTAAATTATTCATGTTGGTGCCGATTTTTGAAAGTCCAATAAAGGTTCTTAAGTAATTCAGCAGCAAATGAGTTAATGTTGATGTTGCAGATGGCAGACCTTGGTTGGTGTTGTCATGTTCAAGGCATTAATATCTACAGGCCACGTAGAGAATCTGCTGCAGGGGAAGGAATGGTAAGTGGGATCGTCTGAAAGAAAACAGTAATATAGATTCTTTTTGCTCGTTGGCATTCATTTGTACAATATTACAGACACATTGCTTGTTTGCATTAAGGGCTTGTATTGTTAAAGACACATTGCTTGTTGGCATTAAGAGTTTGTATTGTTAAAGTGAGATTGCTTGTTGGCATTAAGAGTTTGTATTGTTAAAGTGAGATTGCTTGTTGGCATGTTAAAGTGAGATTGCTTGTTGGCATTAAGAGTTTGTATTGTTAAAGTGAGGCTTGTTGGCATTAAGAGTTTGTATTGAGAGATTGCTGTTGGCATTAAGAGTTTGTATTGTTAAAGTGAGATTGCTTGTTGGCATTAAGAGTTTGTATTGTTAAAGTGAGATTGCTTGTTGGCATTAAGAGTTTGTATTGTTAAAGTGAGATTGCTTGTTGGCATTAAGAGTTTGTATTGTTAAAGTGAGATTGCTTGTTGGCATTAAGAGTTTGTATTGTTAAAGACACATTGCTTGTTGGCATTAAGAGTTTGTATTGTTAAAGACACATTGCTTGTTGACATTAAGAGTTTGTATTGTTAAAGTCACATTGCTTGTTTGCAGTAACTGTTTATATTGTTAAAGTCACATTGCTTGTTGGCATTAAGAGTTTGTATTGTTAAAGTGAGATTGCTTGTTGGCATTAAGAGTTTGTATTGTTAAAGACACATTGCTTGTTGGCATTAAGAGTTTGTATTGTTAAAGTCACATTGCTTGTTGGCATTAAGAGTTTGTATTAAGAGTTTGTATTGTTAAAGACACATTGCTTGTTGGCATTAAGAGTTTATATTGTTAAAGACACATTGCTTGTTGGCATTAAGAGTTTGTATTGTTAAAGACACATTGCTTGTTGGCATTAAGAGTTTGTATTGTTAAAGTCACATTGCTTGTTGGCATTAAGAGTTTATATTGTTAAAGACACATTGCTTGTTGGCATTAAGAGTTTGTATTGTTAAAGACACATTGCTTGTTGGCATTAAAGTTTGTATTGTTAAAGTCACATTGCTTGTTTGCAGTAACTGTTTATATTGTTAAAGTCACATTGCTTGTTGGCATTAAGAGTTTGTATTGTTAAAGTGACATTGCTTGTTGGCATTAAGAGTTTGTATTGTTAAAGTGAGATTGCTTGTTGGCATTAAGAGTTTGTATTGTTAAAGACACATTGCTTGTTTGCAGTAACTGTTTATATTGTTAAAGTGAGATTGCTTGTTGGCATTAACTTTTTATATTGTTAAAGTGAGATTGCTTGTTGGCATCAACTATTTATATTGTTAAAGTGAGATTGCTTGTTGGCATTAACTATTTATATTGTTAAAGTGACAATGCTTGTTGGCATTAACAATTTATATTGTTAAAGTGAGATTGCTTGTTGCATTAACTATTTATATTGTTAAAGTGAGATTGCTTGTTGGCATTAACTATTTATATTGTTAAAGTAAGATTGCTTGTTGGCATTAGCTTTTTATATTGTTAAAGTGAGATTGCTTGTTGGCAGTAACTATTTATATTGTTAAAGTGACATTGCTTGTTGGCATTAACTTTTTATATTGTTAAAGTGAGATTGCTTGTTGGCATTAACTATTTATATTGTTAAAGTGAGATTGCTTGTTGGAATTAACTATTTATATTGTTAAAATCACAGCTTGTTCACAATGATCATTTCTTCTTCTTTTCTTACCACATTGACAGATTTCTTTTTCTCCTTTTGTTCATCTTCTTTATCAGCAGTGAACTCTTGTGGAAAGTCTTAGTTGGTTGTTTTTGGGCTTGAGTCTTGTTCCGGGACAGATCCGGCTTGTTTGAGTGTAGCAGTATTGATAGGGTACAAGACAATGGCACTGCCACTGGAATTTCTGTCGCACTTTAAAGATTTCAATTTGAAGCCCCCTTCTAAAAATCAAAAGCCGTAGTTACCACTCCAGGAATCGAGTCTATCCTGTCAAGATGATGTCAGTGCCTTGCTGACAAGTTTATTTCTACACATGGCCAACTAGACATCCCTAAAACAAAAACAAAACATCTTTTTTATTCTTCTTCCTCTGGATTTCACCTTAAAAGGGGGAGACTTGGTACCACACTGGATGTTAATTATGTAATCATTAGCAAGGTTGACTATAATTGAACTAATAAATTTGGAATATGGACAGACCATTTAAATAACACCAGGTTATACAGTGTCTGATTATCTATCAGCCTCGCATTTTCTTGAAGCATTGAATGAACAAACTTTCTTTTTCACAGACTGGACACTGAGGCCCATTCTACCTCGGGCCCTTTCAATTCAAGCATTCCTCTCTCCCACCACAGTAGCATTCTATCTTGAAACATGTTATGTTAAGATAGCAGTATACAAAATATTAAGATCAAGTTAGGTTAGTTGTGGATCCTTTATAGGGCATTGCAGAACCAACCCCTGGCTGTTGTGTGGTTTTTCTAGGCAAATTTAGGTCCAGTAGTTTGCCATTGCTTTCTAGACGGTCGGCTTTCTTGATACCACTGTCGAAACCAACGCAAGGCGCATGGCCCGCAGCTGGGATCGAACCCGTCATTACAAACACAAAATCATGTATGGCAAATGCACACACTTAAATATATGTTCACATACGTGCACACATGTATACATACATACGCACATGTATACATACTTTCATGTTAAATCGTTCTAAAAATTTAAGCTCAGAACTACATTGGTTGCCAGTTTGGACTGATTATATCGTTGTAATTTTTGTTTCAGGCATGACTGTGCCTTGTGGCTTCCTGGCATGATGAGTTTTCTTATATCTATATACTCCGGCTCAAGAGCATTAGCCAATCTGGTCAGTTGTCTATCTGATTTGGATGTTATTATTTATATTCAAATTTAAAAAAAATTTCTTCCTAGAATATAATACTAATACATGCAACAAAACACACACAAATACATAAACTAAGAAAGAGAGCAATAGCTCTGTAGTCATATGCACATATATATAAAATGCAGTTTTTGGAATAGTTTTTTTTTTTTAATATATATATATATTAAAAACCATTGTTTTAATTTGTCTACATGTTGCTTTAATTTAATTAAATGACCACAGCCAAAAAAAAGAAGATGCATGCGCACACACATGCACACACACACACACACGCATGCACGGACACACCCGCTTACACCCATGCACACGCTTGCAATGGCACACACACACACACAGGGTCTCCTCGACTTATGACTGAGTTCTATTCTATCAAATCGTAAGTCAAATTTATATTCTTTAATACTATTTTAATTCAGACAAGTTAAAAATTATTATAAAACAAAAAAAAATCAATATATGTGTATATATAATTATTGTACATAATGTAAAAAAAATACATACCCTTTCAGTTCGAATGTTTTAATTGGAATTTATTTATATTTATCTACAGCCAATTCCAGTGTTCTTTGTGATGCAAAACCTGACACTTGTCTTCAGAGCAACATACAACCTGGTGTTTCATAGACAGGTAATAGAATTGCAGAGTTTTATGGTTGATTATTACATGCGTCTGTGAAAATGTAAAGTAAATGTAAGATAAACGAGGGAAAGGTTCCTCATCTTTATTGTTAACCGGCTGTCAACTCCGGCGGAAAGTTCCAGTTGTTTGTCCATTTGGACTTTGTTTTTGTACCAGGACCTGAGTTTGGCATGTACATCAATTTTCTTCTTATTTGTGTGCAGCTAGTTGTTCCTTGCAGCTTGGGCAGATGCACTCCGACTTCGAATGGTGCTTCCAATTAGTCGACTCCTGTGACATGCTTGATGGGGAAGCAGTGGGTCTATTCTTGTTTTCACCACAATGGCCCCAGAACCCACACGGGGAAAAGGAAAATACAATGTCTTTGTCAGATAAACAAGTGGGAAACATGTGTACGTCAAGTTGAAACTTTACAAGTATATACTTGTAAATAGAATGGACGACTCAATATCAGTAATGTTTTTAAAGAGGAAAAAGCATTTATGTAGTTGTGCATAATTCTCTTTTGGGGGGGGGGGGTTAATACATTAACAGTACACTATTCCCAGTGTGGTTCCCCATGTGCATCATGGAAAGGGGGGGAGGGGGGGATAGACCCACGGCCCCTAAACAAGCATGTCACAAAAAGCTACTTATTAAGAGTTTGCTGAATTTGAATATGTTGGGTTGAACTGCACAGATATCACAGTCTACCTGTAAACTGCAGCACAACATGTTAACCACCTTTGTTGTGTGAATGTTGATGGGGGGAAAAAAATAAGTAACAGATTTTAGAAGTATATGTTGAATTTTATATATTTCAATTTATATTTAACTGGTGGTACCTTATTTGATTAATTATGTGTGCAACTACTGAACTGCCTTTCTAGTGCTGGACTGTTTGTGTTGGCACTTCGTACGGCTGCCTTATGCATTTAATGCATGTGTATGCTATAAGATCTGCGGAGACTGCTGTCTGTGTCATTTCACAAGGGACATTGAAAAATATTCTGTGTGGTTTTCATTGGCACAGTAATTGAGCAACTATTGGGTGACCCATTTGGTCTTAAGTTGGAACTGCGATTATCTCATTATCTTATCTTAATATATTTTATTTATACTTGTTAAATAATTGTGATTTTCAGATACTGTCAGTATATTCCTACCTCATGCTGATGCTCTCAGTGTCATCCGCTGTGGCTGTGGCTAAAACAGATCCACAGTATGATCCAGACGGATATTTCTGGATGTGTGTACATGTAGTCAGTTTAGGTAAATAATTGTCTTAGATTTGGGGTTTTTTTTAAATTGTTGTTTGTTTTGTATATTTGTTTCATATAATTGTGTCTCTATAGTGAATTTACATAATTGCCTGAAATATTGTGCTGTATGTCATCAGGTGTTACATTAAGAGTTACATTGGTTGTTAGCAGTTATGCCAGGTAATAAAAAGCAAATTTTAGAATGCAAGCTGCAGCCAGGGCTGTTTAACTGGTGGCCCGTAGACCAAATTTGGCCTGCAGAGTTCTAGCAGATGGCCGGCAGATCATTGCCAGTTGTATAGTATTAATGTATTTCTTTGCTGGAGCTCGGTTTTCTAGCCCATGTTGATCCCCTGAGTAAACAGTTGAAGGACCCTGCTTGCAGCAGTTAAGTGAGCTAAGCATTCTTCATTTTTGGAGAGCCAGACTGTTGTAGATGTGAATTACACAAGTAACGTTTCTCAAATTGTTCTCACTTGTCTATCCACATACTGGCAGTGCGATAAACAGACTTTATAATACTCCTGTATCTGCTTTGTTTTTGTCTATTGCAGGGTTTTTTGACATCTATACAAGTGTGATGAAAGGGAGGTTGAAACTAAGGTATGCTGACACTGTTGTCAACTTCTTCTCCTTATACACTTTTATTCTAGTAATATCTGCACTAGAAGTCACCTTTTATTTATTTTTTTTTTTTTTTAAATTTGTTGTTGTTGGAAATTTTGGTTTATTTATCTCTTTTAGTCCCAGGCCAGTTTCACTTTAACTCATTATATCTTTACTAATTTACAGATAAGAAGAGTAATGAAGATGTCTTGAAAGAAACTGAATCATGAAGATAATTGATTGCCCATATCAGAAGGAAACAGTCTACATTTTTTAGTCATGAGAAGGAGAAAACTGGATTATATCGTGGTGGTAAGAAAACTGGAGGGAAAAGAGGCAAATTGAGAGAAGGAAAGACAGTTTGACATCATGGTGGTAAGAAAACTGGAGGGAAAAGAGGCAAATTGAGAGAAGGAAAGACAGTTTGACATCATGGCATGGAAGAACATCCGTCACAGAATTGATTAATGGTAACTGATCCAGAATGTTTTGGATAGACATAGCTACCAACGCCACAACGCATGGACTATAAGAAGGTAATCATAGCATGGAAAGATGTCAGTACATGCATTCTTACATGTTGCTGGAGTTTGCTAGACTTGGGGAAAGCATGATCATCTACACGAATCAGCTGTGCACTTGATGATATATGTGTGTATATTTTTGTTTGTGCTCACCCATACATTCACACATACCTGGAGGTACGTTCACACATACCCGGAGGTACATTCACACATACCTGGAGGTACGTTCACACATACCCGGAGGTACGTTCACACATACCTGGAGGTACATTCACACATACCTGGAGGTACGTTCACACATACCTGGAGATGTACTTCTGGGTGTGGAATTTTCAAAGCGCTTTAAATGACAACATTTATATTTCTCACAGGGCCACAGAGAGACTGTTCTGCTGCTATTTTTACAGGTAATTCTTTACTAAAATGTCACCCTCTTATCTTTTCATTCTTGGTGTTTTCAACATAGAATTCACAAACTCCTGCTTGCACCAAGCAGATTACAGACTATATATTTTGTTGGGAACCCGCCTTGGTGTAGCGGCTAGATGCTCACCTACGGATCCAAAAGTCCTCAGTTCAGGTCTTGACAAAGATGGACTTTTTACACAAATTACCTTGACTCACAGCTCAACCCAGTCTTAAGTGGATACCAGGTAAAGTCTTAGGAAGTAAAGGTGGCCGGTTTGATGTTGACCACATTGCCCACTGAAGGCTTATTGTTCTGTAAAATATAAGTCTAGCCCTATATGCCCAATACTCATGAAGGCATGGAAAAATGCCCTTTGATAATATATTTTTTGGGTATAAGAGATAGAGATCCTACTGATAAGTGCTCTTCACTGCCAAGCTCATGTTGATGTGTTGAGAAATGAACAGGCAGATAGACTTGCTGGTTCTGCAACACTTGATAGTAAATTGATGCATGTCAAGCTGGATGTTGTAAGGGTCCTTTGGGAGTTAGTGAACAGTGTGGTGGCACAAATAGATCATAAAGGTCCGAGGAGAATGGTGCTATCAGGAATGACCAGGGGATCTGGCCAATCCTGAACACTCAAGGGCAAGGCAAACTGGACATACAATCAGACCTTTACTGGAACCATCGGAACAGGGACTCTACACTTGCTGCTGAAGATGGGGATGAAGCGCTTGGGAATGTCCCGAGTGCTGTTATGTGGGTTCCTAATTCAGAATTTTTAAAATTCAAATTTCGTCCTGCGAAGATAGTGGTCCAAGATTTAATGCAGGCTCTAGAAAAGTGACTTCACTTATGAAATGGGTGCCAGACAATTGTCTGCGAAAGAATCCATGAATGAATGAGTGAATGAATTGACATTTCTGCGGGACATTACCCACATGTGCTGTGTATCCTTCCTGCCTCTATAGCCAACCATTTGCAACCTGATTAAAAGTCTACCCGTGTTTCCCCCACAGTGTTGAATATCTTCCAGAGCCTCTACTCACAACTCTCCCCCACCCCCACACCTCCCCCCCCCCCCCGCTTTTTTTTTGGGGGGGGAGGGGGGGTTCCCAACCCTGCATTGTGTAATCAACATCACCTGAGTGGCAGTGAAAACCTTTTTTCGCATAATCAGGTAATTGCAGCTCCAAATTCACAGCAAACGGGTCACTCCATAGTTGCTTGGTTCCTATGCCAGTGGCAACCACACAAAATGTCCATCACCATCCGTTGTTAATTAAATTAACACAGATGGCATAAGGCAGCCATCAGAAATGCCAACACAAACAGTCCAGCACTAGAAATGCAGTTAATCGTTGATGGAAGCAGCAGTTGCAACAGATCATAAGTGGCACATGCAGTTATTTGCTCAAGGCACCATCTTTTCTCTAGCAACAGGCCACTTGCCATTTTCTGAATCACAACACAAACAATGTTGGGCACATTCAAAAAGCATACGAAATGAAATCCTAAGCTCATAGTTTGATGCACCATGTACACAGCTCAAAAGCTGAATGATGTACCTATAGCCTTTCAGTCTACTTATGGAGGAAAATACAGTGGATAATTTGTCAGAGGCAAACGCTTGCCATAACTAAAACCAGTTAGCCTGCCTATCCATTGACCAGAATACACATTATTTTGTATAAGCACAGACAAAGGTTGAACTGTCAGGAAATGTGCAACCAATGTGAGAGACAAATTGTTGGCTAGCCTTTATTCGGAGCACCTTATTCATGGAAATCTTCTTCTTCTTTTTTGCGTTCACTGGCTGTAACCTCTGGCGGAAAGTTCTGGTTGTTCGTCCACTTTTGAACTGCAGTCCTGCTCCAGAACCTGCAGATGCACTCCGACTTTAAAGGAAGCACCCCAAATAGTCGACTCTTACGACATGCTTTTGGGTAGGCAGTGGGTCTATTCTTGTTTTTCCCACAATGGGGCCCCGGAACCCACACGGTTAATTTATGGAAATAAATCAAGACAGCATGTCCAAAATAAACATGTAAGCATTAATTGTCTTCTTTATCTGCAGTTTTCTTGTCCTGGCTCCCTGTAGCTACTTTCTGGGAGATGCCCTAGAGGCTGCCAGGTTTCCGTATCTGTATTTTACCAAATTTTACTTGGGCTGTATACTGAGGTAATGTTATATTGGTTCTCTTGATGTAACTTTGGTTTAGTTAAACTAAAGTTACTTTTTGCTTTCTTATATTTATATATTTGTGATCTCATTATACATAAGTAATTTAAATTTTTATACTTCTCTTTTTAGTTATGCAATTATTTAGCATTCTTATTTTTATTATTGTGATCTTATACAAATAATAATTTTACTTTTTATACTTTTATTTTTAGAATTAAATTAAGATAATTGCATTACTAGGGTTAAAAGTGGTCTTGTTGCATCTAGGTAATTCAGCTGTTTATACTTAGGTAATTGCATTTTTGTTGCACTTGGGTAATGTTATCTAAGATACAATATAACTGTTACATATAAGTTAATTTTTTCTTCCGTAATTTTATCTTTTGTACCAAGAAAATTGTGTTACTAAGGCATCTGCATTGCATTAGTGTGTTTTTTTTAAATTTAATTTTTGTCCCTGACTGAAAAAAAAAATTCAGGGCCAGAATTAAAAAACCTAACCCACAAAGCTCACATCAGCCTTGCGGCAGGCAATAGATCGGACTCAACACCTCCTTGTCCTCATAATCATCATTATCCTTCAATTTGTTTATTTTTTATCTGACATATTTATTAGTTTTGTGTTCTAAATAACTCAAAACTAATAAATATGTCAGAGACAAAATATACAAATTTGCCGAACATCAGGAGCCTCTCTTGGCAGTGGTAAAACGTCACAAGCTAGCTTGGTTTGGGCACGTGGTGAGACATGATTTGATTGCAAAGACTGTACTTCAAGGAACATTGGGGGGTAGTCGGAGAAGAGGATGGCAAAGAAGGATCTGAAATGACAACATCAAAACATGGACAGGACTGAGTTATCACACACTTATTCATCAAGCAGAAGACAAGAGAAAGATGGCAGGTTTTATGTGCTAGTGCTTTCATCAATACACCTCCAGGATCCCGATAGGTCAAAGGTTATGTTATGTTATTCTGCTTGTATTTCCAAATATTAGTGGAGTTCTGGGTATGCTGCTAAACGTGTGTGCTATACGTATTGATGAGCTCAGGTCTGTACAGTCTCTGATGAATGTGAACACTATTCAGTCTGTGGCCAAGGTATAGTCTATAGTTACGCTATACTTTTAAACTATACAGTAAATGTATACAGTTTAGCTGGGAGGTGATGGTGTTAGTAAAGTCAACAACCCTTTTTTACATCTTTGATGCATCAGGCTTATGATGCTAGAATCATATTTTTTTACAGACCAGTTGGCACTCCATGGCTGATATGTCAGTGGCATGCATGTATCTGTTTTTGGACTGAGTCAGTTGAAACAATCCCAGTCTTGAAGAGAGGTCCAGATACAAGACCACGGGACAGGCAGGCACACATGTGTCTAAAGCTGAATTCCTGTGCAGTGGCTTTTGCACCATCTGACTCCTGAAAAAAGAATCTGTGTCTTTGGGTCAGCTGAGTCCTGACAAAAATGCGTCTTTAGGTCGTCTGAGTCCTGAAGAAAGACTTACATCTGTCAGAGAATGTTTGGTGAAGAGGCTATTTTTCTGACCTGGCTCAGAAGCACCAACTCTACGAGGCAGTGCTGCGGAGCTCTGGTTCCTGGCTTATTTACATCTACACTGTTGGTTCCTCACTTCTCAGGCAAATACACTGCAGTTTCAAAGGCAACACCCCTAATTAGTTGCCTTGTACAACATGCTTGTTAGCAGGGTGGTAGGTCTGTCCCCCCACCCCCCACCATCCCTTACTGGGGCACCAGAACCCACACAAGAAAGGTCAGGAATCCAAGACAGTAGAGTTCTGGGATTATCCCTAAGTCACCAGGGCAATGTTTCCACCATAGGTTTTAGTGTTCTTACTGCCCCTTTCTAGAGTTATCAGGTAATGGCTGTTCCACCTCCACGACACCTGTGTCAGCAAAATCCACACAGAATGCACATTGTTGTCCCTGGGCACAAAAGGGACAGACTGCAGTCTCGGCACGGCCAGCAATAGAAAGCTCAAGAGTTTCTGTTTCATCATCATCATCATGTGAAATGCTTGTAGTCATAGGCAGTCTTTGTTCACCTTCTCAGACAATCACTAAACACATGGATCATCTTATTCTTCTAAGGGTGAGGTGCACATTGTTTTGTGGTTTACAGCTAAGCTGTGATATCTGTGCCTTTCGGCTGAACACATAATATTTCAGCAAATCCTTACTTGCATTTTACGACATGTTTTTATAGAGCAGAAAATCAAATTTTTTTTTTTCGAATTCTGAAAAATAGGCCCCCGGAACCCATACAGGGAAGATTAAGATTGTGAATCTGACCAATGCACTTGTCCCATTCAAGCCACATGGCCAAACTATCAAGGAATGAATCTGACCAATGCACTTGTCCCATTCAAGCCACATGGCCAGACTATCAAGGAATGAATCAGACTGTCAAGGAATGAATCTGACCAATGCACTTGTCCCATTCAAGCCACATGGCCAGACTATCAAGGAATGAATCAGAGTGGGCCAGACTGTCAAGGAATGAATCTGACCAATGCACTTGTCCCATTCAAGCCACATGGCCAGACTATCAGGGAATGAATCAGACTGGTGCACTTGTTCCATTCAACCCACATGGCCAGACTATCAAGGAATGAATCAGACTGGTGCACTTGTTCCATTCAACCCACATGGCCAGACTATCAAGGAATGAATCAGATTAGTGCACTTGTCCCATTCAACCCACATGGCCAGACTATCAAGGAATGAATCAGACTGGTGCACTTGTTCCATTCAACCCACATGGCCAGACTATCAAGGAATGAATCAGATTGGTGCACTTGTCCCATTCAACCCACATGGCCAGACTGTCAAGGAATGAATGTCTTTCTATTTTGTTTCCTTATAATTTATTTGCCAATTGTTACCAAGTTTTCAGGGTTTTCCTTCTCAAAATTGCCAGTTGTCACCAAGTTTTCAGGTTTTTGCTTCTCCCAACATGTGCAAAACACTGTGGCAGTTTAAATCTAATTTCTCTCTGTTTAAGGTTTTTAACACTTTTGAGGAACACTGCTTCATTCGTTTTTCTAACAGCCCATGCTTTATTTAAACCATTTATTTAAAGTTAGACACATTTCCTTTACCCGAGTGGTGCACACCGAACCTGGCATTAATTGTCTGTTTTTTTATAGCCAGCATCTTCTTGCTAAACTGCGATGATTCTCTTTTATCTTCTACTGGCTCGCCTCATCGCACGCTCGCTGCCAACTCACAAAACCGACATCGCACGACGAGCAGAAAAAATGGACGACTGGGAAACAACACGATACTGTTCCAGTACTTTATTCTTCCACTCGCGGCTTACACAGCCGGCACATGAACTTGACAACTGTCCAGGCACACATTATAATGCAAGAATCAATTATTACCTTCAAGCAGAAATCCCAATCGATTTACACTAACATCGTAAACGAAACACAACAGCTGTCCTGACAGATACACTCAGACGACCGGCAGACATGTTACTGGCCAGCTTTCTTCGCCAAGTTGGACTGGAACAAATTCACTCAAAAACATCTGCTGAATTCACACATCATCCACCGCTGTCCATGCACACTGTTCCTGGGTCCAAAACGAGACTGCCCACAAACCTTTTCCTCGCTATTATATAGCCCTCTGATCTATCCTGTTCTAGAATATTCTGGATTCATTCTCACGAATTTCCCACTGTTGAAAGTCGTGTCTGGCCCGTGATAATTCACATTTCACATAAATCCTGTGAACAATCATGTTTCACATAAAACCTGACTTTCAGATGAAACTCAAGACATAAATCTCGTGTTATCTCAGCCAGTCAAAACATTCGTCTTACATCTATTACTGACGTCATCTATCGGGCATAAATTAATGAGGAGAAAAATTGTCTGTAGGAGGACTCCCTGGGGACTTCCTTCGAAGTTGGAGTGCATCTGAATGAGCGGCAAGAAACAACCAACGGCATACAAATAAGCCAGTAAAACAGATGTACACACAAAACTCAGGCCCTGGCACAAAGCCAAAGTCCAAATCGATGAATAACCAGGACTTTCCACTGAAGCTTACAGTTGGTGAACAAAGAAAAATGTATAAGAAGATGTCAGAAACAGTCACAGTACCATACGTTATCACTGCGGTAGAAGGGGACAAATAGAGTGTGATATATATTCTGGTGAACATGTTTGCCTGTTTACTTTCAGATATTGTGTTCCTGTGCTTCTCTGAGCTTCTATGACATGAAGATGACACACTCCTTTATTTGTTTGTGAGTACTGCTATCAGTGATACATGTATATTTCTATATTTGTTGACACGATGGATTTTGTTATTTACTTCTGCAGTGACCTGTTCGCAGAAAGCGTAGTTGAAAACCATTGGTCCCGCTCAGTGTTTAGGAGGCCCAGATGTGAATATATTAACTAAATATAGCTTTCAAATGAGTTTGTGCGACACACTCAGTAGGCGGCTAACCATTCTGCAGAGAGAGACTGGGCCATAAAACCCAGTGCAATGAAGTCTGTCCTCTCGACTTTAACCTATTTATCTGTCACTAAATCAATAAATCTATATTTCTCCTTTGTTTCTGTCTATCCCTGTCTGTTTATCTACCTGTCTGTCTGTCTGTTTGCCTGACTACCTACCTGTTTGTTATTTCATTGTCTATCTACCTGCCTACATTTCTACCTTCCTCCCTACCTATACAGCTACCCATTTATCTAGTTACCTACATATAAATATCTCTCCACACAGTATTGCCATTAACCTTGTGTGTTGTGTTGGCTTTTATGAGAGCACAAGTCACAGGAGAACACAACTGCTGCCTATAAACTATTCCAGACGGGTAAGTGACTGACGTTTGTGTAGTGATGACCTTTGAGTTGAAATGCTATAGAAAGATTCTCAGAATACCATGGACAAAGAGGACAAGAAATACTGACATCCTGAAGGATCTGAACAACAAGGAAAGTTGGCTAGTAAACAGCGTCTTGTCTCAGAAACATATTTTGGCTATATCACGTGGTATGGTGGAAAAAGATTGGCTTGTAAACAGCATCTTGTCTCAGAAACTGACATATTTTGGTCATATCAAGCGCCAAGGTGGATTGCAAAAAATAACAACAGAAGGCACGGTACCAGGAAAGAGAGGCAGAGAAGATGGGCACCGGATATAGGTGACACTTTGGGAAGGAAAGTGCAAGAAGCAGGAGATCTGGCGAGAGACTAAGTTTCTTTCAGGTAGGACGTGATGGAAGCGAAGTTCTTGCAAAGGGCCTGCTACGTGATAAAGAGTCTTGACTTTACGGACCACACATTAATTGTGTCTTTGATATATGATGAGTCATGACTGTATGGACCACACATTAATTGTGTCTTTGATACATGATGAGTCATGACTTTATGGGCCACACATTAATTGTGTCTTTGATACATGATTAGTCATGACTTTATATACCACACATTGTGTCTTTGATACATGATTAGTCATGACTTTATATACCACACATTGTGTCTTTGATACAGGATGAGTCATGACTTTACGGATCACACATTAATAGTGTCTTTGATACACGATGAGTAATGACTTACTACACAATAATTGTGTCTTTGATACATGATGAGTCATGACTTACCACACATTAATTGTGTCTTTGATATAAGATATATAATGACTTTACGGACCACACATTAATAGTGTCGTTAATACATGATGAGTCATGACTTTACAGACCAAAACGTTAATTGTGTCTTTGATACATGATGAGTCATGACTTACCACTTATTAATTGTGTCTTTGATATAAGATATGTAATGACTTTACGGACCACACATTAATGGTGTCGTTGATACATGATGAGTCATGACTTTACAGACCAAAACGTTAATTGTGTCTTTGATACATGATGAGTCATGACTTACCACACATTAATTGTGTCTTTGATACATGATGAGTCATGACTTTATTGACCACACATTAATTGTGTCTTTGATACGTGATGAGTCATGACTTACTACACATTAATTGTGTCTTTGATACGTGAGGAGTCATGACTTTATTGACCACACATTAATTGTGTCTTTGTTACATGATGAGTCATGACTTTATTGACCACACATTAATTGTGTCTTTGTTACATGATGAGTCATGACTTTATTGACCACACATTAATTGTGTCTTTGATACGTGATGAGTCATGACTTTATTGACCACACATTAATTGTGTCTTTGTTACATGATGAGTCATGACTTTATTGACCACACATTAATTGTGTCTTTGATACGTGATGAGTCATGACTTTATTGACCACACATTAATTGTGTCTTTGTTACATGATGAGTCATGACTTTATTGACCACACATTAATTGTGTCTTTGTTACATGATGAGTCATGACTTTATTGACCACACATAAATTAGGTCTCTGATACTTTTGTAACATGCTTAATCAACATCCTTAACATTTGACCTGTAATGAGAGCAAGAAGAGTGGGTGGAATTTTATTGCATAGGTAAATGCCTTGTGTACAAAGTCACTACATCCAGTATGAGAATGGAGGTTGAGGCAGTAACAGCAGCTTTTCTGATGGCTTGAGGGCAGCACAGCCCGACATGTTGTAGTTGTAATGGATTCACAGAGCATGTTTCAGAAAATTGAAACCTGGCGTCCTGTACACAGAGGGGCTTGTTTCACTTGATAAGATTCAGATCAGGAGCAGTTTTATGGATATTCTGTCCAGGACATTCAGGTGTGCGAGGTAACGAGCATTCTCATAGATTAGACGCTACCACTCCTTTGGGCGGTCAGCTACTTAATGATAAAGCAGACATGCTGAAGGCTCTCTGTGATCAAATGGGTGGTGCAGTAGAACAGACAGAGAATCCATACATTAAAAGACTAATTCAACAGGGGGTGAGTAGAGATTTTGAAAGATATTCAATGTTGAGAAGGAAACATAGGTGAACATATTATCAGGTTGCAACTGGTACTGTTAGGATGTTGACTCTTTGTTGGCTACTGAAGAAGTGGAAAGACCACATGCGGGAATGTCCAGAATTTGGAAATGTCAATTCTTTATTCAATCATCATCATCATGTTCCTCCTTTTCTCAAAGTCCATGCTGTGTGGCTTTGGTAGTCATGTCTATCCACTCTTCTTCTCAAAGTCCATGCTGTGTGGCTTTGGTAGTCATGTCTGTCCACAACCTTCTATCTCGTGTAGTTTCAGTCAACTCTGACACAGTTGTTCTTACAGCATACTACATGGTGGACCTTGAAGTCGCCTAGTAGGCTCAGGAGAAATGTAAAGGATTCTGCAAGCATATTATGAACCCTGAAGATATATGGTGGATTTTGAGTGCCCCCTAACAAGCATGTTAAAAAAGGCTGGCTAGCAAGAAAAGGTGGATAGTATGGGAAGGTGGCTAGAAAGAAAAAGTAACTAGTAGGATAAGGGGGCTGGTAAGGGAAAGTGGTTAGTAAGAGAGAGTGTTTAGTATGGAAAGGTGGCTAGTAAGGACAGTATTTAGTAAGAGAAAGTAAATAGTAAGGGTGAGTGACTAGTAAAGGAAGGTAGCTAGTAAATGAATTTTGCTACAAAGGAAAGGTGGCTAGAATGTAGCTAATAAGAGAAGGTAGCTGGTAAGGGAAGGTAACTGGTAAGGGAAGGTGGATAGTAAGAGAAGGTGGCTGCTAAAGAAACATGGATAGTAAAGGAAGGTGCAAAGCAAGGGAAGGTGGCTGGTAAGGAAAGATGCAAAGCAAGGGAAGGTGGCTAGTAAGGGAAGGTGGCTGGTAAGGGAAGACGCAAAGCAAGGGAAGGTGGCTGGTAAGGGAAGATGCAAAGCAAGGGAAGGTGACTGGTAAGGGAAGATGCAAAGCAAGGGAAGGTGGCTAGTAAGGGAAGGTGACTAGTAAGGGAAGGTGGCTGGTAAGGAAAGACGCAAAGCAAGGGAAAGTGGCTGGTAAGGGAAGATGCAAAGCAAGGGGAGGTGGCTGGTAAGGGAAGGTGACTGGTAAGGAAAGATGCAAAGCAAGGAAAGGTGGCTGGTAAGGGAAGGTGACTGGTAAGGGAAGATGCAAAGCAAGGGAAGGTGACTAGTAAGGGAAGGTGGCTAGTAAGGGAAGGTGGCTGGTAAGGGAAGACGCAAAGCAAGGAAAAGTGGCTGGTAAGGGAAGATGCAAAGCAAGGGAAGGTGGCTAGTAAGGGAAGGTGGCTGGTAAAGGAAGGTGGCTAGAAAGGTAACTGGTCATCCCACTGCATATGTCATAACCTAGAATATGAGAAAGCTTAACACTTGACATCTGTGCTTCTGTGTCTGCTACGAGACTCCCTATATCTTGTACCTAAGTCCAGCAACAGTCTCCAGAAATCTCACACAAACAATTGCACTCATGAACACAACAGGCTTTCTGAACAGATGTCATTGGCAGCACGAGGTAAACATCTCGATGGCCTCACCACGGTTCTCTTTTCATGTTCTGATGCAGAAATATAAAAAGACAAGGACCCCATTTAGACCAGTGGGTCATGTGACATAGGATGCTGGACGCATAATTTTATAAACCAGTCAACACTTGCTAGGTGATGTCAGCATCATGTCAGCTGATTTTACTTCCTAGGATATCACCTGATACCAGTTAAAGACTGCATGGATATGGGAGCCAAGGTTAATTTTGAGAACAAAATCCAACATGATTCAGATTCACACCCAAGATGTTTGTTTGCCAGCAAGCGAGTTTCTGGCTCCTGGATGGACAAGAATTGTCTATATTGTTGGCACCCTTGTTGTTACATTTATATACTTGTTACAGTCTTGTCTATTCAGTCCCTCAGTGATTACATATCTATACATTTGTAGACTCAGTCTAGCCTTTTCAATCTCTGAATCAGTACATTTATATAGAAAGTTTGTGACGCAATCTTTCCTCAGAATGACGATCAGAGTTCTCTAGAGAGCAGCATTTTGTCAGTTGATGGATCTCAGAAGTTGAAGCGACATGAGCTGCAGCAAGATATGATCCACGCCGACTTAATCTGAGTGACTGATGTTTCAATCTATGATCAGAACTGAAATTTTCTGTCTTTGATGTTTAAACCTAAGATTAGATACTACTTAATCTGTATCTTTGATGGATAAACCTAAGTAAAGTCAAGTAAATGACCCTTTTCTACGCCTTCAAGTGTTTTGGGCATATAGGGCCAGACCTGTATTTTGTAGACCAATCGACTCTCAGTGGGAGAGGTGGATAAACCTAAGAGCAATAAATAACTAATCTAAGTCAATTATGTTTAAACCTTATTTTTTGCCTTAGCGTTCACCTGCTGTAAACTCCAGCAGAAAGTTCTGGAAAGTCCATTAAGTCTTCTTATTTTTTTCAGAACTTGAATTTTAGATACACATCTACTCATTTATATGCACACTATTGGTTTCTCAGCTCACAGGCAGATTCTGTATGACACAAATCACATCCACTGCTGTTATAATGTACAGCTCACCATGGAAGTCTTAGATCAACCACGGAAAGATTTAACACCGAATGAAAAGTAGGTTAGTGAGCTTCACTATACAACAAACACAAACGAAAAGTGAACTTTGTGGCTACAGAGCCATCATCAATACATAAATCAAACAATACAATACGGATACACAAATTCACTAACTGACATATCTCAAAGCAGCCAAGTTGATGTCTAGTCAGTGGAATGAAGAGACAATGGCCCAGGAATGCTAAGGGCCATAACTTGAGAAACTGTTGACAATTCAGTCCCCTGTGTGTTTGGGTACCTAAAGTAAAAAAAAAGCGATTCTCAAGATTATTAGATTAACCACATGATGCCAGGCAGTAAATTTTGCAGTTCACTCTTTGCGTTCTCATTATTGACATTTAAAATGGAAAATCTGTTTTTAGGGGGTTTATGTATGATAGTCTTTTTAAATGACATTGAATGTATGTAAGACTGTGTTTTAAAAAGTAGTTCATTCAATCAGTCATTATCCTATCATGCCATCATACAAGGTCAGACCATTAAGTAATGAGACTGATTTTATTACGGCCAAGACAAAAGTGTCATCTATGAAGCAAAGCATGAAATCCAAAGAGGCAACCTTCATCCATGATCTAGCAACTTTGCATAGCCACCTGATTAACAGACGACAAACAAGCTAGTTATATGTGCATTGTTACTTAATCAGCATGGAGCGAAAAGCTTACATTAAATTATGTTTAAAACTCAGAAAAAGTGCCATTGAGACAGTTGAATTGATGCAACAAGTTTATGGAGATATTTTTTTAATCTGGTGCACAGATTTTCAGGTGGTATTTATGATTCAAAAGTGGTGTAGAAATGATTACTAATGCAACTAGACCTGGACGACCAATTTCTAGTTTTGTAATGACGAACTCATTGCAAAAGTCACAGAAAGGATACAAGAAGATCGTTGTTTTACTGTCAGGATGATGGCACATGAATCTGGTGATAATAGAGAGACCCTTGGTAAAACTTTAGTGGAAGATTTTGGCAAGAAAGAAAGCTGCTTGCTGGTTTGTACCGCATTTGGTGCCTGATGACCAAAAACATCAGTGGGTTGAGTACCCATGAGACATCAAAACAGGGATTTTTGGCCCCAAAACAAGTATGTGTTCTCAACCAGACTCTGTTTCCCCAGATTTGTCTCCCTGTGATTATTTTCTATTCCCAAAATTAAAGTTACCATTGGAAGGATGCTTCTTTGACGAAGGGCCATAACAGAAGAACTACAGGGGTCGTTTCAGTGTTTGTTAGATTGTGCTACATACTGTATCAATGCACAAGAGGCTTACTTTGAATAAAGTTTAGGTTATATCTTCTTCAACTGTTGATTAGTTTAATTTTTATGCAATTAGTCTCAGTACCTAATTGTCGGACCTTGTATGTCCCATAGGACTGGCAGTCTGTTTCTCTTTTCCATTATATCTTGTCCAATCACTTTGATGTCATGGGTGAAATCCAATCCAACACTTTGGCTTCTCTCATTAGCATTCACCTTCAAGTTTCTCTTGGACGTCCTAATTTCCTCAGTTTCCCATTTCAGTGCCTGTTTGGTGATTCTCTGTTCATAGTTTGGTGATTCTCTGTTCATAGTTTGGTGATTCTCTGTTCATAGTTTGGTGATTCTCTGTTCATAACTTCTCAGACTGTGTTCACTACCTTCTTCTCTGCCTTATAACTGCTGATTCTAGTGGTTGCGCAGACATTTCTCTTATTTCTTAACTCCTCTTTAATTTGTTTAATGTACTAGTCTGTTAATATGTATGGCAATATGTTATTTATTAAAATTGCATTTGTGTCAGTTTTGTACAGGACATCTTTTATGTAATATATTTCATTTTTGGGTTGTAAAAACTGTTATATGTGACAGTTTTATTATAACAATTTTGTGTATGGGTTTGTTGTATATGGAATTGCTATGTATGACAGTGTGTTTCAAATACACTTGTTTGTCCACGTTGTAATATTGTGTGCTTAACACTCTTGACATCCTTGACAATATTGGCAGGTTACGAGAGAAATGGCATGGTTTTTGTAACTGATGTTACACTTTTAATGTTTTCGTTTAAAGCCGCATCGAATGTAAGAAACAGCTCATATGCGAAGTAGATATGCCAACACACAGTATACTTTTATCTGCATGTTATGGTTTTAAATTAAGTCTTAACAATGAAAGTTGATTAAATCAAAGTTATTGTCATTGCAGTCTTGACATCGAAAATTGATTAAATCAAAGTTATTGTCATTGCAGTCTTGACTTTGAAAATTGATAAAATCAAAGTTATTGTCAATGCAGTTTACACAGTTAAAATTGATTTCAGTCAAACTTAATGTTTTGTTTTGATAAGGAAATCAATATTAATGTATCTTGACACTAGAAGTTGATTTAATCAAGTTTTGTATCTTTTTCAGTCTTTACAATAAAAGTTTATGAGATTGTTATTATTATTATTATTATTATTAAATAAGTTGCAGTCTTGCCAATGAAAGTTGATTAAATTAATGTTTACACTTGTGCAGTTTTTAAAATTAAGATCGATTAACTCAAAGTTTGTCTACTGTAGTCTAGTCAATTAACTTTGATTAAATCAGTGTTAATGTCTGTTGAAATCTAATAATAAAAGTTGATTAAATGAAAGTTAATGTCTCTTGATGTCTAGATAATATAAGTTTGTCAAATGAAAATTAATATCTGTTGGTGTCTGATTATGAAAGTTGATTAAATCAGTGTTATTGTATGTTGCAGTTTGATAGTGAAAGTTGATTAAATCAAAGTTAATGACTGCTGGAGTCTTCCTAGTGAAAGTTAAATTAGTTTTCAATTCCTGATGTAGTCTTGACAATTACTGTTATTTAAATAAATTTATTTCTTTATCAATTAGAGAAACAAATTTATTTATAAATTTTCGGAAAAATAAATGTATGCATCATTCAAACAAAAGGAGCCACAATGGTGGAGTGGCTAGATGCTTACTTACAGATAGGAAGGGCATTTGTTCTGAATGTAAAATTGCCTGGTAAAATCACAAATGGCTAGAAAATGCTGGGGTTAGTTCTGTAACGTCCTGTAAAAGTAAGTTGCTAACTTACTTACTTACTTAGTCACTCCTCTTTTACCTTGGAGTGTAGATGTTTACCAGAGCGATCATTAGACTTCTCTATCGGTAGTTTGCTTTCTGACTTTGTCCCATTCCGGTCATGTCAGTCAGGGACTGTCAAATGTTGTCTTCCCAGTGGACCCTGGAGGTCTGGTTCCCTAGCTCTTATTAGCCTACTATGCTTGCCTTGGTGGCCGATTTTCTCCCATTCTGTATACATGTCCAAACCATAATAACTGTGACTGATCCACTCCAGTTTGTAAGGCCTGGGTTTCAAGATATTTACGTATTGTTAGACTGCAAACTTTGTCCCTTCTTGTCACTTGGACCACCTTTCTCAGATACCTCATTTCCGAGGCCTGAAGCTGGCTTTTGTGAGCTGTTGTCATTGCCCATGACTCACACCCATAGGTCAGGACTGGTACATAGGTAGAGCAGTAAACAGCCATTTTCATCCTCTTGCCAATTTCTTTTTGCTAAGAAACCCTCGGTTTATGGCCTGGAAGAATCTCCCAGCAGCTGCTTTTTGTGTAGCCAGCTCAGTCTTAATGCCTCCGTTTCGGTCTAATACCACTCTAAGGTATTTTAACTGGTTAACCTACTCCAATCAAAAATAGTCAAGGAAAGGTACTTACTAACACTAAAGATCAAATGGACAGATGGGTTGAATATTTTGAAATGCTTCTAAATAGACCAGGCCCAGAGGTTCCCCCAGATATCCAGCCTTTAGAAATGGAACTGGATATCAACTGTGAGATACCATCCAAAGAGGAAATTAGAAAAGCTATAAATCTTCTTAAGGAAGGAAAGGTGTCAGGCCCAGATGGTATCCCAGCTGAAGCCATCAGGACCAACATAAACACATCAACAGAATTGCTACATAGATTATTCAGTAAAGCCTGGGAGACCGAAGAAATACCAGCAGACTGGAGAGAAGGATATCTTGTGAAACTGCCCAAAAAAGGTGATCTACAGGAGTGTGAAAACTATAGAGGAATTATGTTGCTGTCAGTTCCTGGAAAAATATTAAGTAGAATTATTTTGGAAAGATTAAAAGATGCTATTGATAAAATGCTACGAGATGAGCAGGCAGGTTTTCGGTCAAACAGATCCTGTACTGATCAGATAGCCACATTACGTATTATAATAGAGCAAAGCATTGAACTGAACTCACCACTTTACATTGGATTTATAGACTATGAAAAAGCATTTGACAGCATTGATAGGGAATCTCTCTGGAAATTGATGGGGCACTATGGAATCCCACAGAAAATTATCAACTTAGTAAAGGCAACATATAAAGACATGAAATGTCGAGTTCTTCATGAGGGAAAGCTAACAGATGCATTTGAAATAAAAACAGGTGTGCGACAGGGATGTCTTTTGTCGCCTCTCCTATTTTTACTGGCTA